TCTTTATATTCTTAATTTGTTATATGCTTCACCTCGAGATTCCATCCTTTATTTTGGTTCTTCTACTTTTACGTAGATGGTACCCTAGGTTATCTGGTTTGATAATTTTTATATATAATGTGTGAGTAAGTTTTTTTGTTTTTGTATTACTCATCACAGTTTTCCAATAAAATATATTTCAAAATTCTATATATATTATATGCTATTATAATTAATTTCAAACATTATATACATCTTTAGTTTTTCTTTGCATTTCTTTTCTTTTTTAACTTTTATATTGATTTATTTACTTATTTCTAAAATAAAAACTTGAATATTTTGATTCATGTGTATTGTAACCACTTTTCTTCAAAAGGAACTGAATTCAGACAAATGTAAAACTGTATCTTAACATACATTAGCTTCCATAGTTTGAATCGTTAAGTAATTAAATGATTTTAACTGCATAGGTTAAAACTTCATGCAATTAGCAGAATATTTTTTTTTCTTGTGAATGTCTAAGATTTGAGAAAAATCCCAGGTTCTTGTACAGTTAAAAATAAAGAGACTGGTTTATGAAGAATACATTTGTCATTTTTATTTTTGTTTCCCTATAATGAGTTAGGAAACTGAAACAAAGTGTAAAATTTTCTAAGTTGTAATTATCCTGAACAACATGTGAACGCCTACACAATTTAAATAAATTATTTACCACAAAAAATATAATGGTTTCATTTTAAATCATAGATTAGACTAGATTTTTTCATGCAAGGAAACTGCTAATGATAAAATATTTCATGCTGTACTAATAAATCAGAAAATTTGCATTCAATCTAAACCTAAAACGAGAATCCATTGGTGAATTATTCATGACACTACACTAAAACAGCTATTTCTAGGCATATAATATTTCCCTCAAGATTTAAACTCCTGACTATAGTACATTACGAACTTTTTTCTGTTTTGTAAAATACACACACTTAAGCATTCAAAAGTCTTTTATCTATATTTCTAATTACTTTCTAATAGTCCTCGTGTGCGTGTGTTGCGCGCACTTAGAAAGTAAATTTTACGACTCATTGTACTTTTTAAAAAGTGCTGAATAAAATAGAGACAATAAGAATTTTAAAAAAATTTAAAAACACCAAAATAAGTAATATAAAAAATGTTAAGTCAATTCCTACTTAGGTCAACAAAGAAAAATTTTATTTCAGTTAATTTTATTTAATAATTACAATTAATATAAATATGTACATGTATGACAGAATCACAATATTGTCAAAACAGAAATCTATTTTCCATTTTCCCTTCTATATATGGTGTTGGATTGTTATTTTTGTTTGTTATTATTTATTCTTTAATTATAAATTTAACTATTCCAATGAAATACTATAGTAAAGAGAAATTACATTTTCAGAAATTACTCCATCTCAAGTGGGATTTGTACCCCAATCTTTGGATTAGAAATCCAACACGCTCATCCATTGCGCTACAGGGACACAACAAGCGATTTTCTTTTTTATATATGGTTTTGAACTATTATTTTTGTTTGTTACTATTTATTCATTAAATTAAATTTAATTAATGAATTAATATTTTAAAACCGTATTAACATCAAGTGTCATCCACTGCAAATTTCAATACGTATTTAAACTTCAGTGAATGAATAAAAAATATTTTATTAGCGATGGATAATTTGTACAAATATACATATAAATAAATATATATAGGGTGAGTGTGAACTAATAGTATAAATTGAAAAAACCGTTGTCCTATTTATTATTCTTTTAACAAAATTGAAGCATTTCATTTTTAAAATCTTGCTTGACAAAAAATGGATACACAGATGCGGCTGATGAATTCTTATTTCTATAAATAAGTAATATGAGGTAAAATTAATAGAAATGAGATACAGTGAAAATCGCTTAACACGAAACTGAGGGAGCAGAAATATTTTCTAATGTTAAAAAAATGTCTTGTTAAAGATATTGCAAACATAAAAAACCATATATTCAACAGGTGAGAATTTCAAAAGTACGTTTTATTCACACAGTATATATAACTTAAATCAGAGGGCAAACGCCGCAGGGGCCAAGGTCTACTATGCTCATCTCGGAATCGGCCCGGAATTGGTTGCTGATGAGCAGATGTCTCGTTGGTGGTCGTCTAAAGCGAAACCTCAGTGTTTAGTCCCCGAGCTGCTTGGTACTCATTTATTTCACTGAAGGATGAAGGCTAGTTGACCTTTCCAGCCTGAGGATAGAACCCAGACATGTGATCAACTGAAGGCGCGTTACGCTAGCACTCGGCCACTGGGTCTCGATACATACATATGCAAGTATTTATTAAAAATCAAGGAAACAAAAACATTCACAAAAAAAGGAAATTTAATACAAAATTTTCAAGTTTGTGACTCTAATTTTGGTCTGCACTTGAAATCTGATAGGATGCTTGCAAATGCACCATATTTTTTGCTTTCGGTGGGTTCTCAAAGCGGTGAACCGTATTTTTAAAATGCGGCTCTGCCGCTTTGGGAATCTACGAAGGCCAAAACATGACTTCGTCTAGACCGCTTGAGGTTAAGGAACAAACATTTATTGAGTTTGGAAAATAATCTGATATTTTCTTGCATTGTCTTCTTAACATCAAATTGTCAACAAACTTTCGACGTCCATTGTGCATTCATTTCATCATTGAATGGCTTCAAATAACTGCATACTTTCATGTTCTTCATTTGATGATGAATAGGACTAAATTCATCCTTTTTCGTTTTACGAGTTCCTCAGTGATATTTGAGCTTTAACAACTCAAAATGATTCGCCTTAGATGGGACGACATGCATTATCACCATTTTTCTACTTCTTTCGATGATAAAGTAGGATAGTCTAATAATATAAAAACTTTTTCTAACAGTTCATTAAGTGTTTATTCCCAGAAGCGAAATCTTTCGTGTTAAGAGAAAACCAATAATATATAAAAAAATTTAAGTCAATTCCTACATGAAAAACAAATTAAGCTTTTCATCCTGGTAGTTGAATAATGTAAACAGTCGCCCTCCATTGCCTTCATTCGGAACCAATTTAATTTTCCCCTATATAAAACTAAAAATAATTAATTAAATTAAATTAATGAATTAATATTTGAATAAACTGTATTAACATCAAGTGTCATCCACTACAAGTTTAAAAAGATGTGTTTGAATTTGGGTGGATGAATAAATAGTATTTTATTGAAAATTTGAACACGATATATAAATAAATATAGAGAGGAGAAGAGTTGAAAAAAGGCATGAAAATTCATAATAGTTTGTCGGGACCGTTGTATTATTTCGTGTTAACCGATATTTCACGTTAAGCGTATTTCACTGTATTTAGAACAGTTCCAATCTTTTCGTGAGCATTATCTAGAAAGCATTATTATCTCGCGTTGAAAATATGCAATCGATTCACATTGTTTGTCCACGTGTACCCTGAGAAAGATATCATTGCTTGCAAACAATATTTTATTGCATTAAATGTCAAAAATCAGGGAAGATTTCACGCCTCGATAAGCTTTATCTCTTTTCTCTGGAGGTAACTTAATTTTCAAAATCAGTTTTGTCTCTGCAAAGCGAATGTCAATTAAAACATTTTCTCGGGCTGATTCTTTTGTTGTTGGAAAATGAAGCTACAGCATAATGAGCTGATGATTAGATTTTCAATTCTCTGCTAGGATCACAAACAAGTCTTGGGAGATGTTAAGCCAGCGGCAAATTGAACAAACAGCATAAGCGACTCAGTAAATAGTGTTTAACAAATATTTAGCCAAATGTTTAGCTACATATCGTGATATATTTTTAGATAAACAAATGTATGTTTCTGTGTATTCCACTCTGAGCAAAGAAAGAAAATATATTTGTATCGGCTGATAATTCTTATTATTCGTATTATAAATAAAAAAAGCACTGGTATCTAATAATTTCATTTCATGGAGATCCAAAAAGTCTTGCTTAGAACAATTCAGAACATAGAAATAACCAGTACCTTGAGTAAAAGTGCCAGTATACTTGAGAATATGCATTCTGAAATAAAGCAAATTCTTTAATAAACAAAATTAACTGTGCATTAGTTCTCGATCTTGTTCTATCTCTGAACGAAAAACTCTTAACACTGAGTGTGGCTATAATTAATATTCATGAACTAATTTTCGTTCGTACAAAAAATTCTCGAAACTTTGCTTCTTAATTTTTCCAATACAATTATTTAAAAGTTAAATCTTAAATATTTTCTGAAAATCATTTATATAATCAATAAAAATCAAAAGAATTATTGAATAAGCTGTAGAAATGTTTTCTAAAAATTGCAAAAAATAATAATTATCAACAATTTTTGCTTAAAGTTCACGTAAAAATAACTTCTATGCGTTTTATTAAATAATTGTATTTTAATGTTTAAATTTAAGTGGAATAACATTATGTGTGAGTACAATACATATTCATTCCCAATACAATGTGCAGACATAAGCAACACAAGATGTTTGATAGTAAAAAAATAGTACGTATATTATGTAAAAATAAAAAAAAAAAAGGTAAATCAAAAAAGGTAAAAATTAATGCTGTAAGAAAATCATTTGAAAAAAAGTGCTTTCGAACCAGAAATTATTTTCTTACTATGCAGCTCTTTGAGGCCCAGAGGTCGAGTGGTAGCGTATTGCGCTTCCACGCTATAAAACAAGTAACATAAAACAAGTAATATAAAAATAAAAATTTAAGTCAATTCCTACTTAGGTCAAAACAAAAATTTTATTTTAGTTATTTTTTATTAAATAATTGCAATTAATATAAATATGTATATACATATGACACAAACACAATATTAAGTGAAAAAATAAAAAGCTATTTTCCTTGCAATTTTTTCCATTTTCCTTTCTATATATGATATTGGACTATTTTTTGTTTTGTTACTATTTATTCTTTAATTAAATTTAATTATTCTAATAAAATAGTATAGTAAAAAAAGAAATCACATTCTCAGGAATGATGCCATCCCCCTTGAGATTCAAACCCACAATCTTTGGATTAGAAGTCCAACACGCTATCCATTGCGTTACAGGGACACAATGAACGATTTTCCTTTCTATATATGTTGTTGGACGATTATTTTTGTTTGTTATTATTTATTCATTTTTTTAATTTAATTAATGAATTAAAATATTTGAAAAAACGGTATTAACATCAAATGTCATCCACTACAAGTTTTAAAAAATGTATTTGAACTTGAGTGGATGAATAAAAAGTATTTTATTAACGATTGGATTGAAAATTTGAACAACATATATATATATAGAGAGAGAGAGAGAGAGAGAACTAAAATAGGAATTGAAAAAAATTTGGTGAAAAATGTATTAAATTTAAGTTATGATCTTTTTAAAGAGACTGCAATGAATACCCGAGATTGTTATTGTGATATGTTTCAAATAGGGAAAAAATTAGTGTAAAAGGGTGGAAATGAATGCTCACAGATTTGTGTTTTTTAATGCTATAACGATTTCTTTTATTACAAAATATTTAAATTAGCATGTTTCAATAGAATACCAGATTTGGAAGTTTGAAGTAAAAACTGACAAAACTTACCAAGATAATCAAATATTATTCAAGCCCGGACCCTTAGCCTGTACTATCTGATAGAGGAATCAATAACCTAACATAGGAACAATGTACATAAGCCCTGGAAACGATCGTCAATTGTTTGTTCGCAGAGACTCCCCCACTGACAAATCATTTACCATCGTCTTTATGATGCAGAACTGTGCGACCAGAGACCAGTGATCCCCAAACGCCAGTGTTTGTCGAACTGTGGGGCGCACCCCATGGGGGTGATAACCCCTACAAAGGGGGCGCTAGCATATTGAAAAGTCAAAAGGAAAAGAATATTTTTAAAAAATTAACTTATTGAAAAACAAAATAAAAATTCTGACATAATAAAAAATAAAATACACATTTACACTGATATAATACACGTATAAATATATTAGTTTGGCACAATGTAATTTATAATTGATCTATAACCATGCTAAGTTAAGAATAAGTTTAACAATCACCAATGGCTTGCCATATATAAAGCCGTGGGCTCCATGGGCTTGTCATATAAAGTTATATACAAAAATTATATAACTCTTATCTTGATAATTTGTATGGCTTATGATTAATCCCTAAAATGCCGATTAAAAATTGCGTGATTCGCTCCCCAATGCTACCGCTTAACACGTGGGTGAGAATATGTGATGTATTTGAGGGGTGGGGGAGAAAAGCAATACACACAAAAATAAGCAAATCCTCTGAAACAAGTAAATCCTTCGCAAACACTGCTCAATGTCCTTTTATTGCATTCCAAAACCTTTGGAATACTTTTTATGTAAAGCAGTTCACAGAAAAGATCGTTCTTCGGAAAGACGTATATATACGTCCGAGGATATTAACGCACAGACTGGACGAGACGTTTATATGCGCTAGCGGCACTTAAGAAGTTAAAGTCGTATTGTTGGTTTAGCTTCAAAGTACAGTATTATTGAATTCAATTCATTGTTATTGTATGGAGGGATTGATTGATTGTAGGGTTTTATATGGCGCAAGAGCCAATTTTGGCTAAGCTGCGCCAATTCTATGGAGGGAGGGCGTGATGAAAATTATGATTGAATATTGGGTCGCAAATAGTGAAAATTTTAGAAGCACTGTCATACGCTAATAAATTATCAGTTCATTTGATATCCAAATACGCCAGAGTCTTAGGGTACAATCTAATAATTAACAGATTTTTTTTTGTTTGTTTCATGTGAAAAAGGCTCTGAAATTTTGAGTATGCATTAAATGGAGACATATTGCATGTCAATGACCCTTTTCATAAACCTAAGCATTAAAACTGATCCTAAAAGAAAAACACTTTGAAAAGCATTGTTCTCCAAGTCTAATAAAACATTATTTTATACCTTCATTTGACGTAGAGGTAAATTTGGTTTTAATAATTCATATTAACTTTCGCTGACAACATAAGCAATAACAAAATTTATAAGGCTTTGCATTATCTCATATATTGTTGCAGTCATAAAAACTTTCGTTTTTATGATCGATACTGTCATTAAAGCAAGTCACAACTTGTTATAAATATATTATAAGTCGAGAATAGAACATATACGTTGGCTGATATATGTTTACGCTCCAAATAAAATCATCTAAATATAATAAAGACATAAGTAAAGGAAGAACAATTCTATACAGACTAAACACTTAATTTTCTAGATGTGTCTCCCGTTAGTAAAATTAATAAAAATATTATAAATTTAAATAACTGGTGTTTTAAAATTAAGAGAATTTTAGATTTTCTCGATTATCTATAGAACTACTGGACAGATTTTAATGAAATTTGGTATGTATATAGGGCTGATATAATGCAAAAAAAATCGTTCAGCAGTTAAAACGCATGATCGGGCTACTAATCATCGAAGTCGGAAGGTTTGAAACAGCAGTTGCAGAATATAACAAACAAAAAAAATTAATGGGAGTATTGTCCCTTCTCGCTCGTAGTGCCCCTATAGCGCAATGAATAGGGCATTGGATTTTTAATCCAAAGGTCGTGGGTTCGAATCCCAGCTGGGTTGGCCTAATTTATGAGAATGTGATTTCTTTTTTACTATAATATTTTACTGGAATAATTAAATTTATAATTAATGAATAAGTAGTAACAAACAAAAATAATAGTCCAACACCCTATATAGAAAGGAAAATGGAAAATTGCAAGGAATATCTCTTTCTATTTTGCCACTTAATATTGTGATTCTGTCATATGTATATACATATTTATATTAATTGTAAATATTTAATAAAAAATAACTAAAATAAAAAAAAATTTGTTGACCCAAGTAGGAATTGACCTTAAAAAAAAAATTTTTATATTACTCGTTTTTATTATCTGAAAACTTAAGTGAAAGCTTTAGTAATATTGGATTTAGTTACCTATAAATTATACTAGAACTTCACAATGGATTGATAACAACAAAACTCGTTATTTTCAATTACATTTATAAACAAGTGTTGCATTTTAACTGCGTAGCACAGTGCTTCTCAAACTTTCAATATTTGCGACCCACTTTTCAATCATAATTTTCATCGCCCCCCTCCCCCATACCATAACAATATATTGAATTCAATAATACTATACTTTGAAACTAAAGCTACTATACGACTTTTTAAGTCCCACCGACGTATATAAACGTCTCTCTCAGCCAAAGCTTTAATTGCCCCGGACGTATATATACGTCTTTCCGAAATACGATCTTTGCTGTGCACTGCTACCTATACAATTATTCAGAAGGCTTTGGAATGCAGTAAAAGGACTTTGACAGTGTTTGCTAAGGATTTACTTATTTCAGAGGATTTGCTTATTTGTTCCTTTTCTACTCCCCCCTCTCAATCCATCACATACGCTAGCCCCCTACTTGTGCAACGATGGCATTGGGGAGAGAATCACGTAATTTTTATTCGGTATTTAAGGAACTAATTATAAACCGTACAAATTATCAAGAAAAGTGTTGATATTTGTATATAATTTTATATATGAAAAACCGATGGGTTCACTGGTGATTATAAACGTTCTTAACTTAGTATTGTTTAGTTAATTGTAAAATACACTGCGCAGTGCTGATCTATTTATAAATGAATTATATTAGTCTAAATAAGTATTTTTATTTTTATGTCCAAATGTATTTTGTTTGTTTACTTTCAGTAAGTTAATAATTTCGTTAAATCTCTCTCTTTTGCTTCGACTTTTCAATATGCTCGCCCCCTCGTAGGGTTATCACGCCCCTAGGGGCGCGCCCACAGTTTAGAAACACTGGCGTAGCACAGTCTCAAATTTTCCACGTAGCTTTAAACATGAAGACTCAGAGACTATTTTTTCCTTGTATAGCATACCTTTTATTCTACCCGATAGTCCTTGATTGAAACGATGATCATGAGTAGGTAGCTTGTGAGGCGTAGGTTCGAGGCTCGACTCCACTAAAAACCCCTCATGATAATAATTTGAGTCGCAATACGTTAAGTACAATTAGACCTCCAAAAGTACCTTCGTGATGTTATAAATTTAGAAAAAAATTACCTACTCAGATGCTATGCCGAATCCATTGAGCATGGACCAAAATTATATTGCCCGTCACCAATAGTTAACTTCCATTTAGCTTCTACAGTAAAGTTAAATCAACTATTATAAGTAGACACGAACTGAACATGTGGTTATCTAGCCATATAGTTTCTAGCGCATCATTAATTCAAATCAACTCTTCATAATTAGAAACGAATATTGAACAATAGGGTCTATGACTATTAAGCTGCAGTTCTAATAGAGATTTCACATGCGTTAATTCATTAAGAGGGCAGCTGACTTATGCTGTACATGCGGTTATCAAGCTGCAATTTTACTACAAAGATTTTGCACGTGTTAACTAAAACCTGGAAAGGTCTACAAAAACTTTTACATTCAAACCTATTTTTATATGCTTCTTTTTGGTGTTATTTTTTTATGCGGTATTTTAAAAAATCAATAAATTTGCGTATTAAGTATAAAAAGAAATTTAAAAAGAACATACAGAGGGCTGTCTAAATAACATCAAATTAAAAAGAATCCAAAAATGGATCATCCGATATTAAATATGTTTAGCACAGTATGTTCCAAGAGAACTCAGCTCCATAAATTGAACCCAACTACCAACCAACTGGTATTATATCATCCCGTTACTAAAAATATGTCAATATTGCCCACCAATTGCATTACTTATGTACATATTGCATCATTTAATCATACTAAATAATAACCGTCCTGTGATTACCTCTTGGTTGTTAAGACAAAATTCATTTTAAAGTTAATTAAAGGTAAATTTATTATGTTTTCTAATTCGAAATATATTTTTGTGCGCATTTTGTTTAGACAAAAATTTTAATTGTTCCTAGCTAGGAAAATCAATTTTTACCTACATCGTGAGTTCTTCATTAGCATATTTTCTATATGGGACTTTTTATATATGGTTCTTAAAAGTATAGGGGTGGGGGAGTGTTTGGGCAACAAGCT